ATGTTAGATGAATCTACTACCTTTTTTTTTTCCAGTTATGAGGTTCAATTTGTATTAGCAAAAATCTTACCAATTAAGTTATTTTTTTTTAAAAAACTTGTAACCATCAGCATCCTAAAAATATTTAAGTTCTGTGCTCTGGTTCTTATGTAACTGTTGTTTACAAACAAATGACAAGTCTCTGGAAAAGCAGGGGATGTGCTCTGAAAGGCAGCATTTGCTCAAGAGAAATGATACCACTGGTTGCTTTAAACTATTCATGATGCAGTTTAAAGAGTTGCCTGAAGCTGATCAGGTAATTATTCAAATTGGTTTATAGCCTGAGAACTTTTAACTGTTCAAAAACTTCACTCTTTGGACTCCTGACATCTAACAGAGAAAGAAGTGATGTCCAGGCTTTGAAGGCTCCTTGTGTTGCTGTAGGTGAGCAGTGAGTTGGTTTCTCACCCAGTGGGTGTTTGTGCATCCTCCCACTTAACTGCAGCTTGCTGGGAGTCCAGTCCTAACTGTGTGAAACCCTCTGGGAAATGTAAATCCATCATTCCTGTTGGAGAAACAAAGTGAAAGTAGCACCTCATTGGGTGCTTGTTTGGGAAAACCCCTGGTAAATGGCCTTGTTCGTGAAGTTTGAGTCTCAAATGGTGATGGCAGCAAATGTGGCAGTGGTAAACATGAGGAAGCCTCTTGTGAAATTGTATTTATGGTTCTTTAGGGTTGAACTGTCCAGTTCCCAGTGGGACATGGGCTCACCCTTCCATTGTAACTCTGTGTAGCTGTCATACCATGACGCGAAAAGTTCTTGTAAGACATGCATTGTTAGCACTGGCATCTGTTGGGAAGTCTTGCTGTTTCCAACTGTCCTTTGGTTTCAATGTATCCTCCTTCCCTCTGTGTTGCCAAGTGGGTTAAAGTCTGTTTTGAGTTCCTTTGATAGAACTGGTTTTAGTCCCACTGCAGATGGTCGGTGTCAGCAATGGGTTCCCAGAGTCTAACGCTGCACAAATGCCCTTGGCTGATTTGTAACAGAGCTGCAACTGCCTGATGTGCTGTGCATTGTGACTGTAAACTATTCCATGCCTTTTTAATGTTGTAGTGCATAAAGCACCTGTTCAAACAGCTACAAGGAGGGGATAACTCCTCCTGTAGCTTGGAATCCTGAAAACCCCACAGAGAGGACCTCTCTCTGTCTGGGAGAGGGGACTCTGCAGCTGCAGCTCCTGTCCTGCATGGAAGAATTTTCCCTTTTCCTCTTAATCATTAACATTGGAAAAATAGTGAAAGTAATGTTTCAGAAAGACAAATAATGAATTGTTTCTTCTGTCAGTCTTCATACATCATACCTTTGTGTAAAATGTGCAGAGCAAACAATAACATCAACAGGCAAGCACTTAAAAGCGAATTCACAATGTTTAAGTTTTATTGCTGCATTTATTAGCTTAACTGAAGTTTGGTCTGATAACTGTCTTTACTGTGGTTTCTGAGTCCCGTGACATGCAGTACAAAAACCATAGGTTTGCATGGAAAGCCTTTCTGTGGGTCAGCTCCTTGCCTGGCTCACACCAGGCTCGTTTACACGTGTTGAGAGGATCTGATGGGTGTTTTCATGTGCACAGAACCTCCTGTCACAGGCTTTGTTTGACTTTGTGTTTTCACTTCAGCAATTCATAGCAGGGTTAAACCGTTTCAAATGCCAGCTGGATCTTTCTTCACGTCTGGGCTTCATAAAAAGTCCAAACTTGCATTTTTAGTCTTCAAAAACAGCTGAGGGAAATGGCATTCATTTATGCTTTGGGGTTTTTTTTTGGTATGTCTGTTGTTCCTGGTATTTAAAGCAGGTCAGGGTAGTATGTAGAGCATACCTTTAAGAGCATTTTGGAATTTTTGCAGTTATTAAAGAACACAGTCTTGTGTTTTTCTTTCCCTGCAATAGAAATATTTTGGTTTCAAATTAATTTTGGATTCTGTTCAAATTGGAACATTTTTCTCAGCACTGTTATGAATTGCTTTTCTTGTTTATAATGTAAAGACTGTAGCATAACTTATGCATTTGATACTTTTTTATATGTTCACTTCCAGTGTTTCTCCATATGGTTTTTTTCCCCCCCACATCTTGCTTTTCTTGGTCACTGAGGAACTTGAAACACCACTGTCTTTAGTTAGAAGTTTTAAGTATTTGCCATCAGAAAACAGACTGGAGCTTCTCCTGGTTGCAAAAAACACTTTACCATTTTTGAACACACTTGGAGGCAGTGATCTTGAGGCAGCACTTATAGCAAGAGTGAGGTAAAGGTTAATTCTGTGTAACCTCAGCTGATTCAGATTGAGAATTTATTCCCCCCTCTTGCTTCTTTCCCTCAGTCATTTAATTACTCATTTTGTGCTGGCTCAGTTTCAGCTAAAAACTGTCATTTGGGACAGTATCAAAAGCTCTGCTGAAGCCAGGATGGTTGAGCTTCTGTCCAGTTTATCCTCATGTCAGCCAGCCTGTCAGCAAAGGAAACTGGAAAGGCTCCACACAGCTGTTCATAGCCCAGTGACCCACCTGCCTGGCTTTTCCAGTCCCCATGACTCCCTGGGAGCTGTCAGGACTCCAAAAGATTCCCAGACCCCCTGGCCTGCTTTGAAAACACAGTTTTTGCTCGTTGCTGCTGGGCAGGAACCTCCTGGTTCTCCCCATTCTGAGAACTGAGTGTTAAAGGGTTTGCTTTCAGTTTGGCCAGTTCCTTCTGGTTCTGTGTTGTGTTGCACTGAAGCTCAGAGCTTTTACAGTGTGTTCTTGTATCTCACTGGTTAATAAAAGCCCAAAGCACTGCACCTTCAGCTGGGAGCAGCACAATGGTATCAGTGTTAGAGGAGTTACTCTTTTTTTTTTTTCTACTTGGCAACAAATGCTTTTGGTAGAGCAGCACTGGAACCCAGTTAGTCTAAGGGTAAGATATTTAGTAATCTTTGCATGTGTTCTAACTGAAAACCCTTTCAGGCTACTAGCAGTTTTCTTCCTTTTGGAAAAGGAAAAATTGAATATTCAGTTAGGAGTAGATTAGGTTGTCTTCAGTTTTAAAAATACCAGTACATAACTGATTCTGTTGAATGTGAACTACTTAGTTAAAAAATTCCTTTTTTTCCGAGAAATCAGAGCTGCTGCTTGAACACAGGGACGAGACAGCAGAGGCCACTTGTTTAGTGGTAATTAAACATATTGAGAGAATTTACATGTTCTCTCTTGATGAGGCCACAGTTCTAAAAGCACGACATGATCACAATTTTGTTTTCTTGCTAAGAGTGCTGAATATTCAATTCAGGTTTTGGGCATCTCAGGGAGATAATTCCAGCTGGATAAAGCCACATGCCTTGACTAAACCTAGTGATGTTGTGCAGACTTACCTTAGCTGAGGATCTGGCCCTTCACTGTATGAATGTATTCAAAATTGTACTTTGTTAATGCTGCCCTGTGTCCTGTGTACCCCTACTGCTGTATGAAATTAATTTTTGGCATCGTTTAATTTGCAACTCATTTGTAGATTTCAGCATAGAAATAATTTTAAGGTTAAGTGGGAACTTATATTGTGAGTTTATTGCATTCTATAACTTCAAGGTTTACATCCCTCAAAAGCCATTTTGTCTGCTACCAACTGCTGTAATCCTTCGAGTACCTCCAGCCATCTTCTCTTTCTAGGATTTTTATAGTTAAACAGAATGGATTTTTATTTTTGTAGCTTGTAACTTCAAATGTGTACAGTAGTTTAGTAATCAGTGATCAGAATACTGTAAAAATGTTACTTTTAAGAGCTGTAACTTTAAATTGGTAATAACTACTTACAAGAAAATACCAGCATGTTAGCAGTTAAAAAAAAAAAAAAGGTTATTCTTTAGCTTCACATACTGTGATGCTGCAGCTTGGGGTTTGCATTGAATGTGTTTATCCATATATTCTGACATTGCACTAAACAGGAAAAATATGAGCTTAAAGTGCAATAGGTCAACAAATAGAATTTATAACATCTTAGCTTTTCTCATGTTATAAAATTAACATTTGGGATTCAGTATTTTTTGGTTTCCCACCGAACAGTAAGGAAGGAGTGATCAGTGGACTCCTGACAGATCAGTTGTATCCAAATGATGCAGTTTGAGATCTGTATTTAGTGCTTTAAACATAAGCAGACACCTTCTGCATCATTCCTGCCTCTCTCCTCAGAGGACACAAACTCAGAGCAAACCCCACTGCTCCTCACAGCTGTACAGTATGTGAGATCTTCCTTGCAAGGAAAGAACCAGCCACCATAATCTTGAACCTCCAAAATAAGCATTTAAATCAAAATTTTCCAATTTTTCCTTGACATCAAGTGACGTTTTCACATCCCAAACTGGTTTTCCTTTTGTTTTTAAAAGGAGGGCAGGCTGAAATGGGAGGATAAGGAAGTATTGCTGTAAAAAGTCTTGGTCATAAAAGCTGGGAGGTCTGTTCTTTATTTGCTGCAGAGGCACAGTGACTGTGATCGTGTCTCATAAAAACTTGTGATGTGTGCTCCAGTCATGACATGGGGTGATGTGTGATTTGAGTGCTTGGGTCGGGTTCTGTCTGTGAGAAGCTGCAGCTTCACAAAGCCACAGAACTACTCCGTTCTGGGGTGTTACTCCACAGTAAGGGAGGCTGGAAACCTCAGTGAGTTGTACCGTGGCTGTCTCTGTGACTTGCGCTCCCGGAAGGCTCCTTAGAGAAACATCTGCTCCATATTTGTCATAGAAGTTTGTAAATACAGGTTTTTCACACCACTGACTCTGTTACTGAATTTCCTGTTGCACTTTTTGTTGTCTTGTTGTTTGTACTGTATTCTTCTGTAGATGTAAGTGTGTGGATTAAAGTATTTAAACTCAGGGGTTTTTTTATTCCTCACTATGCATAAAAGCAAGTATGATTTTTTTCAATCCTCTGACAACCCCGGGATGAGGATGACTGCCTGGCTCTGGGAGGGCTGCAGCAGGATGAGACCAGGGATTTTAAAAACAAAGTTGCATTTTTTGACCTCCATGGCTGTGTTTGTGCCTGAGATCCCTGCTAGAAAGTCGAGGTGTTTTAAACCTCAGTGCATGGGGAAAATTCTGGACAGCGTGGTAATGCCATTTGGAGGTAAATCTGACACTGGTAACCTGCAGAGATTTGTCACAGCAGCTGAACAACTGTTCATCCTTCACCCCGGGGGAGAAGGTGAGTTTATGTGGCTTTAGAATAGATGTGGTTAAAGTGGTGGAACCCATCCTCCAGCTTCAACAGGGAGGTGAAATGTCCAGATTGTTCCTTCTCACCTCTGTTGTCAATGATTTGGGATCTTAAAAACAGCTTGTGACCCTGCCCACTCTTGATTTAGTCTAAGGGGGGAAAGTCCTACTAATGTACTACCTGTAATGAGCAATTTCAAGCAAGAGTTGTAACAGGAGATGTTTTGTGTCATGTGGTGGTAATAGAAACTGGAGATGGGGTGGGGAGGCTGCTGAGAGTAAGGCAGGAAAACCCACGGGGCTTTTCCCAGAAAGGAGAAACGCTGCTGCTGGAAGAAGTTCAGGGATCAAGTGGCTCAATGCTTTCTCCTGATGGCAGCAGATGGGTTAGTTTGAGCTTTTGGAAGTGAATAAATCCTCCTGTGGGGCCACTTTATCATAGTGTCAGTTCCCTCCCCGCGTCCTCTCCTCTGTTCCCCGGTCTCATTTGCACAAAAGAGAGAAGGGCTCTGGCCTCTCAGCTCCTGTATTATGTCACAATCAAACCTTTTAAAGAGTATTTGTGTGTTGTTTTCCATTCAAGATGGGGTCAGAGCATAGATATTCAGCAGGATTTTTTTCTTAGATGGGTAAGACAATAGTTTCATAGAGCTTTGAGGATCGCTGGCACTAATGTATATAAGCATCGAGGTTTAACGCATTTTAAATGTTTTTAGAACTGCCGGAGTGAGCCGTGCACAGCAACAACTTGAGCCGGACTTTAGCCCAGGGTTGTGTAAGGAGTTACATCACAGGTGCGTGTGGGGAAGAACAAAGAGCAAGCCAAGGCTGAAATGCTTTTTTGATTATTAAAGTAAAAATGTAAAGTATTTGGTGAATGAACAGAAAAGTGGTTGTGTGGGGATTCAAATACAATTCAAGGAGTCCGGTGTTGGGACAGTTGAGGGTCTAACAGGGTATCTCCTCTAACGAATCTGTTTTCCTCTTCAGGAAAATCCCTCGCCGCAGAGAAGGCAGCGGGCAAACTCTGCCTCTTCCCCTGTGCATCTGTGGGCAATGTGAGAACACGCTGGTAACCGCAAGGTAACAGATGGCCGGAGGGTCCCGGTGACCGCGGGCGCTGCGGCGCTGAGCGCGAACAAAGCCCCGCGGATCTGGGGATGTGCCACCCAGCCGTGCCGAGGGCCATTGTCCCCGCCCGGCCGCGAAATCCCGATTCCACGCTTAGGGGCTGCTTAAAAGAGCCTCGCTCTCCCAGACCTGCAAAAGAGCAGCTCCCCATGTCGTTCATTGAAAATATGGAAAGGGCAATGCATATAGAAATCTAATTATTGGCAGGCACAGCCCGGGCTTTTAGCATGATAATCGTGGGCCTCGGAGCTTTCTTGTGCACGGACCCCGAAAGATAATCATGAAAGCAAAAGTTAAAACTATTGAATTTCCATCACTCGCTCAAAAGTTCGCTTTGATTATGTTGACACGATTTTTGTTTGTCCCTGCGCGGCGACGAGAAACTGTTATTAATCACTTCTAAATATTTCAAAGACAAAGGGGGCTTGCCCGCCCCGGGGGATGGAGAGGGGATGATGATGGGATGAAGGGTGATGGCGGGGTGTCCCCCTCCTGTGCTGGGGGGTTCTTGCCGAGCTGGCGGGGCGGAGGAAAGGGGTCGGTGACGGGCTCGGCTGACACCCCCAGCCCACCCCCTTCCCTCCCGCCGCCCTTATAGCCCGGCCCGCGCCCGGGCGCTGCCGGCGGCCCATGGCCACGGTGAGGGGCTCGCCCGGGCTCCCGGCCCTGCTGCTGCTGCTGCTGCTGCTGCTCGGGGCGGGCGGGTCGCGGCCGGGCACCGCCGATCGCTGCAGCTGGAGGGGCAGGTACGGGGGCACGGGGGCTGCGGGCACCGGGCGGGCCCGGCGGCTCTCGGGGAGGGAACGGCCCGTTCCAGCATCCGCGGCGCTGGCGCGTTTGCCTCGGTCACTGACAAGGGAAATCGGCGACAAATATTCTCAAATGATGGCTCTCACCCCCATCCGCTCACCGGTGGGATTTTCCGGGTATCCGAGCGCTGGCCAGTCCTGCCACACGGAAAGGTTTAGAGCTGTTTAGCAGAGAGTTGTCCTCTAGCATTTCCCTGGATGCTGCAGGCATCCGAGCGTGGATTTGTAGGCAGGCAAAGGGTCTGAGCTCCTTCCCATGCACTCAGGTGCAGCCCCAGATGTGAGCAATCCCTGTTTCCCCCATCCCTCCCGCGTGGTGCTGCAGCTGTGACCCGAGGGAAGGGAGGAAGGAAGGAAGTCATTAGGAGAGAGTCGGTTGGCAGTGGGGTTTGTGTCTCTGGGCAGAGCGTGGTAGTGGTTTCCGGGATGTTGTGGCTGCGCTGTGGGCACCATCAGTGATGGAGCAATGGTGTTGCCCTGGCAGTGGTTTGAGCTGGGAGCCCCGTTCCCGTGCCGTGGAGCAGGTCCACCTGCGCTGCACCGAGGGCTCCCTGGAGTGGATGTACCCGGCACGAGCCCTGCGAGTGGTCCTGGAGCCCAACCTGTCCAGTGCCCAGCACACCACCGTCTGCATCAAGCCCGCCAGCGACTTCCAGGGTGCCAACATCTACGTGGAGCGCGCTGGGCAGCTGCACCTGGTGCTGAGCGAGGCCGAAGGGGCTCGGCCCCACCACGTGTCCTGCTTCAGCGCCCACGGGCCGCAGCGAGTGGCCCTGTTCCTGCAGGCCAGCCCGCAGAGGGACATCAGCCGCCGCACCGCCAGCTTCCAGTACGAGCTGCTGAGCAACCAGAGCACGGCCGGCCCCGACTTCAAAAAGATGGCCCTGGTGGAAGGTAAGAGCAGGGGCAGCCCCGGGGCTCTGCTGCCAGGGCAGATCTAGGAGAGCATCAGATATTCCCTGGTGCATCCCTTGTCATAGAAGCTGGTTTGGGTTGAGGGGTTTGTCACTGCAGGGGGTTTGTCCTTCTACCTGGTGGTGCCATCACTGAGAACATCCCCTGTGCTTTTTTGCTTTGCTGTGGTTGTATTTGCATAACAAGAGTTTTGGGTTGCATCTGATGATAATTCTCTCTAACCTGGTAGTTGCGCCTGATTTCCTTTCCTAATTCACCAGTCCTGTATTATCTAATGTAAGTATTATTGTATAATAATGCATATATTATAGTGTTACAAATAACTAACTGGTCTGGGTTTTTTCTAGCTATGTGCCGTCCTTGTGACAACGTGGAACTTCTTATGGCCATTTGCAGCAGTGATTTTGGTAAGCTGACTAAAGGGGAGTCATTCTGCCTTTCATTTATATTGATTATTTGGATTTGTTTGTTGCTTTTCCTCAAATAATGTAATGACTGTGCTCCCTGATCTGGGAAAGAAAATAGCTGTGTGAAAAACAATCTGAATGGGGGGATGAAAGTGAAACCTAGAAGGGAGAAACTGGCTGCCAAAGTCCTTGTTTCCTGCAAGCAGAAAGGTTAAGGTCTAAAACTGAACTGCGAGTCATTCTCACAGGTGCGAGCTGCTGGCTCTTAGGCAGAGACACTCATACACACAGGTTGTACGTGCTTGGTGTGGTCATTTTTATTCCCTTTGTCCATGTTTCTTTTTATCCTAACTACAAATATGCCCCCTCTCTCCCCTCACAACTCATACACTTCTTTTTCTGCAGAGGCAGTGAGTTGTTTGTAGCTTAGTTAAAGACTTCAGGTGGTTTAAACTCCTTTCAGTGATGTCCTGATTAAGTTTCATGCCTTATGAGAAAACAGAGCAGTTATAGTCCATCAGAAAATAAATACTAATTTGATGATACCTTAAAAGCTTTTTCCTTTTTCTCTACTTGATAGTGTAATAGGATTTATTTTCTTCTGAGTGGTTTGTCCGTTTTATTCCCCTGTTTTTCCATATGCACATTTGTGCCTCTTCGATCAGGTCAAGTAGCTAAAGCTGTAGAGCTGCCTCTCCATGAGGCCACAGTTCTATAGCTGTAAATGTATCTACATGAAAATAAGAGTACAAATTCCATCCAATGTTTATAAAACCCCACCAAATCACTGCTTCCCTACCCGAGGCCGCCACACTTCGAAGCTGATAAAGCCAGACGCCAACATCACTGTGCAAATACAAACCCAGTGCAGAGCAAGCTTCCCTTGGAGTGCTCCTTAGCTGGTAATTTTTATTCTTCTCCTAAATTAATCGGCGCAATCCAGCCCATTGTTTTTCCTTGATGAAGCTCCTGGTTCCCATGCGGGTGCTCTGCCGTGGAACAAGCGGAGACTGACAGATGTGGAGGCCCTGGCACACAATGGGGGCACTTACACTCACAGCAGCAGCAGACCAGAAGAAATGGCCCTTTGAACTGACTCTATTTATGGCCTGACTTCCTTGCCCCGAGCTCACAAATCGCTATCGTCAACTTTTTTGATGAGGGAAAATAGCTGCTAATGAAAGTGTAAATGACACTGGGAGTGAATAGGGGCTTTATAGTCACCCTTAGGATGGGGGTCTTCAGTCACTGGGCCCTGAGCAGTGCAGGAGCAACTTGGAGCACCAGGAACAAGTGCATTATAGCTTGTCAATAGACTTGACTGCATCTGATTAAAAATGATCACACAAAGAGGGAGACAGAGAGCAGAGACAGCTGTTACCTAAAATTCTGGGTTCCCTTGGAAAATCTAATTAAATGAGGAGGTTCTTGGAGGCTTTGGAAATAAGCTTGTTCTGCATCTTGGGTTGTTGAGTTTTCTGTACCCAAAACGAGTGAGTTTTGTGGCAGGAGGGTGGTGATGTTCCCACTGCTTTGCAAACCTCTCATTTGCTGAAGAGCTCATGGCTCAAATGGTGGCCTGTTTCTGAGCCTTCTATGGATGTGGGATTGAAATTAAATTAATTAGTAGAAGAATAATTGATTGCTGTGAAAAATGGGGGCAGTGACATTGAGAAGAAGATACATGAGTAGTCAAAAAGCACAATTTCAAGGACATGGCACTGTCTGTGTAGGGATCCTCTGGGCAAAGGATGCAATATAAGCTCAGAAATGTGTCCACATGTAGGTGGGAGGTGTGAAAACTGCACCACTCCTGCTCTCCAGTTATTTCATTCAGTGAGCTCCTGGTACCTGAGCTGCTTCCCTGCTGCTCCATAACCAACTCCTGTCTTGTTCGCATCCAGTGGTGAAAGGATCCATCCGGAACGTTTCCCACGACTCGGAGAACCACATGTCCCAGGTGGATGTCAGAGTCCAGAGAGTCTACAGGCAGAAGAACAGGATTTTCCAGCAGGATGAAGGGAGTGGGGAGTGGAGGGGCCCCATCCGAACCCTGCTGCAGTGCAAGGTGAAGAAGGGAGGTGGAGATTTCCTCTTCACTGGGAGTGAACACTTTGGTGAAGCCTGGCTGGGCTGTGCCCCTCGCTTTAAGGATTTCATGTTTGTTTATCGAGCTGCCAGAGAAAGAGGAGCCAACCCCTGCGAGTTTGAGCTCAACTGACAAGAGAGGCACTGTTGTTGAGAGTCGAACAATTTCAGCCCAGTTTTCGGATTCTGAATCTGGAGCAGAGTTAAAACCAAGGACCCAAACTGGGAAGCTGGAGAATTCCCTGAGGATAATGGCTCTGTGAGCCCTGTGAACTCTTCTAACCCACATTAGTTTCTCCTTCTTCACAATGTCATTGTCTCGTAAAATAACTCTGAAGTTTGAAAAGATTATCTTTTTTTGGGGGGGTTAGAAAGCAGCTTGTGCCCAGGATTACAAAATTCTAACATGTTTTCTTCTGTCTACGTGCTATGTGCTTTTTCTCCAGATATTTTTCTCCTCCCCAATCTCTACTTTTTTTTTTTTCCTTTTCAGATGAATGTGGAAACTCTCTCTAAGCTGGGGGGGGGGGAGGAAACTACCCTTGAGGCAAAAAAAACCCCAAATCCCCAAGAACTACTTCTTTTTTAAAATTGAAAATAGGCTGCTGTAAGAAGTACATTTTCTTTTCTTACATTGAAAAACATTAAGGAGTTTAATATAAGCACGGACAAAATACAACTAACTTGACTCCTGAAAGTTCTGTTGAACTAATTTAGGATCAACAATTGCTCATGATGGTATTTTTCACCTAAATTATCTGCCTCTTTTCAATTAGCTTTCATTATTTGAAAGGTGGCTCCTCCCACCCTCCCTCAGTGCTTTGGCCAGACTCCCATAATTGCCTGTATTTTATGTAAATGGAATTGCTACACCGTAAAATGATATACAAATGTGTCTACCACACAGAGCCCAATAAATGGTGTGAATAAACCCATTATTTCCCATGTAACAGCATCTGATTGCAGCCTGGGAAACACGGGGCTGACAGATGTGAGCCCGTGACAAGGCCTGCAAAAAAACCTGAATGAGGAGCTCCCTGACAGGCCACAATTAATTGACTTTTGAAATGACTCCTTTTTCTTCTCCACAGTTCTACTTGGCTGAGCAAGATTCACAAATTGCTGTCTTGAACTTTTTAATGGGACAAAATAGCTGCCAATGAAAGTCTAAATGACAAGAACTTTGAATGGGAGTCGCACAATGGCCACACCGTGACACGTTTTTAACTGACATATTGATTATTTGAGAAGTAGCAGCCACTTAATTGGGAGGGAATGGGGAAGGGGGGAAGAAATGGGAGGCAGTCAGAGAACTGGGTATAGAAATACAGTTTTTTTAAAATAGGGGGCATCCTGATAACAACATTCACATGTGTTCCCTGAGAGTACAATTTGGAGTCCAAGCCAGTTGTTTCTTCTGCTGTGAAAAAGTGATCACAAAGCTAAATCCAAAGGAAATGTCATTAGCAAGGAAGAAAACAAACTGTATGAGCAATGACCCTGCTGACTTCCTGGGGATCTTGGTACTTGCCCAAGACCCAGGCTGTAGTTACAGTCAAGTTTCTATGGGCTTAAAATATCTATATGGTTGGCTTTGGAAACTGAACCCAAGCTCTGACACACCTGATTGACCTCCTAATCCCAGAGCCATCATGGTTAGTGATAATGGGGATTTTTCCTCCCCTAGGTTTTGCTGGTTTATTGTTTTGTGTTATCCTGATCAAGCAGTACTGTTTGAGTCTCTGAGAACTCTTCAGAGAGTTTCTTCTCCAAAACCTTCATCAGGCCAGCTGACTTGGAGAACTTTAAGTGGAAAAGGAAATGCTGAACTTGTTTCATGGATGCCTTTGTTTGGGCTGATTTTTAAACACATTGAGCCACCAGAACAGCTCCCTGTTGAGCTGTTTTCCACTGGCCATGTGGGGAGGCAGCAGCCTGCAAACCACACTCCCTTTAGTTTGATTTCACTGGGTAACATTAGGAATCATCACCCATTGCTGCTTCTGGGGGTACCTTAAGCTGGCAGATGCTTGACATCACCTGAGGTTTTCTTAAGCAATCCCACACTGAGTCCTCAGTTGTTCATTTTCCCCCAGCTGCTGACCACGTTTTTGTTTACTTGAAATGTTCCGGTTTTGTTCAGTGGTCAGGATGTTCCCCTTGTCCTCAGCTGGTAATGGGTGTGGAGGTCAGGGGAAAGGTATCTAGGACAGCATTAGACAGCCCAGAGCACAGTTTCTGCAGGTCTCCTTTCCTCTCTTCCCCACTTCTTGTATAACTCAGGGAATTATGCAGTAAAAGGCCTGTTATTTGTACTCTGCTGTGTCTTCCCTTCTGCCTCCCTCACTGCTTTGCTTCACCTCTGAGCACAGAACAAAACACTGAGAGTTGGGGGTTACTGTGAGTATTTATTGAATTCAAACTATCACAATTCACCAGTCAGCTCTTGCAGCAGTTACAGGCACAGATGACATAAAATCCATGTTGATGGCCCTGATGAGGACACCTGGCTGACACAACTACATGGAATGAACACCATGCACATTCTGAAGTACCTAGCTGATACATCACTGCAATCAACAGATAGCTACATAAGCATTTCTTTTTCTAAATACAATGTTTTACTGATGTGTTTCATTGAAGATTAAATTTAAACAGATTAGTTTATTTCCAGTGAGCAACTGTTTCTTGATTTCCTCTCACTTGCACATTAAAATGCCAATCAATCCATATCCTCAGGGTGTTATTAACACCAGAGTTAGTTCTATATCTATACTGGGTAAGTTGAGTTCTTTGTAGTTTTATCAAGAGAAGTACAATTAAAATATATGCTTCTACATATGTTTTGTTTAAAATCAGTACAGCTTTGACAGTTATTGCCTAAGTAAAACCACTTCAGTTATGTTGAAAAGGTTTTTGAATCATCACTTATTATGCTGTAGCTAATATTTTTCTAAATATTATACCACCCTAATGTTTCAATATATCCAAGATATCTGAAGCTAACCAAAACAAGAGTTTTCAGAAACCCAGCGATTCAGTTACATGTTTCTGATTTCATTCCAAAAGAACAGAATCTCCTTTTATGATTTCTAGTCATTCACAGCACTAAAGAAAGCAAAAACTAGGATCAGGAGTACAGTGGCAGGCTTGTTTCACTGCCTGGTGATCCAGGACACTTTATGTCTTCCGTACTGTCAGTCATTCACCAATGTCACATTTCAAGAATTCCCACCTTGTCCAGAATAAAAGCTGCTCCTGACTTTGGGTGTCACTCCAGACTGTGGCTACAGAAGCCCAAAGACTTAGAGGTCAGTACTGACACCCCTGTAAGTCAAGAGGCAACAGAGACACTGGGGATTTTGTCCCAAGGGGACAGAGTATCCTTCAGCACCTACAAGTGGATCTGCAGCCCTGTGGCACTGCCAAGCAGATAAAGGATTTCTCAGAGGAAACTGCTCTTGTCCCTCAATGCTGACAAACTGGAAGGGCAGAAAACCCAGTCTGTCATTCATTGTTGGCTCCCAGCAGGACATATCCTCCCTCCACACCTTTTAAAGAGCTCTGCTTAGGTTGGTAGTTTCAGGGCTGACTGTGCTTTGGAGAGTGGAGACCCTTGAGATGGTACAACTGCTCCAGAGACAGCTGTGGCTCTTTTAGATCCACCATCCATTCCATATCCTATCTTGGTCAAAGAAATGGAAGAAATCAAACTTATGCTCTCCTTGACAAAGCACCAAGAGTTTACAAACCAAGTGAAAATAGAGACAACTAAGCCCTGAAAGTCTCTCTCCAAAGCACTTTGGCTAATGTGGAATGTATCACAGAGGTTCTTTTAAGCCTTCTAACAATTCCCTGCCAAACTGCCAGCAATGGCTTTGTGTTCTATTTCACCAAGGCCCATAAAGGGAGTTTTGTAAATCAAAAGTCCAGGAGGTCTCTCCTGTGAGCTTCCCTGTTCTCCATGGGCTACAAGAAGTAGGAGCTACCACAGTAAGTCCAGAGGCATCAACAAGATACAGACCCAATAACTATGAGATCCAAATACCTTGATTGCCTACAGATTGTTTTAAAGTTGTAAGTAGGAGGTACAGATTCCTCTGCACACAGAACTTCTGAAGACACACCGCAACCCAAAGCAAAGAACGCCAGGAGAATTAAAAATCCACCCCAGTAGGAATGGATGTATGTTCCCCTTTGTGCTAATTCCCTGCACGTTTCAAAGAACTCACCTGTCTGCCCACAGGCTTCATGCAGAGAAGAAACAGCATTTTCTAGGTACTGTGCACATGTCTTGAGACTCCTCAAATCAGAGTCCCAAATACATGCAAGAAATTCAGTTTCTACCACCTGAACAACTAAAGATACACCAGCAGAGAATATCCCACCTCACAGAGGAAAAGCTTTATGACAGAAGATCCTGCTGTAAGCAAACAGCACATTTATGCTCCATATGCAAGCCAAAAATGCCCCCCAACACTAAAGAGCCTTCAGTGTGAAAATGTGAAGCATATTCTGCGTCATTAGATGAGACAGAATACTTCATCCCACAAACTGTGTCATCACAGGACACACATCACTGCTCTGCAGGATGTCTTCCTGAAGACTCTCTGGTGTATTCCCAGAGTCAATGTCATTTATTCTCTGGTGCTTTTAACACCATTTCTTTCCCATCAACTCTAGAAGTCTCTGCATTTCCATTCTGATGAGATCTGTCATATTAGCTTTTACAACTTAGTACCATAAGACCTGGACTTACTGATTTCAGTAGCTCTTTCTGCAGCATCTCATGATGAACATGTCTGTGTATAGACAAAAGGGCAACACTGAGAGCCCCCTCAAATCCTGGAACCTGAATTTGTCAAGGAGTTCTTCCTGTTTCTTTCTCAAAGGGGTTATGGTTACCTGTGGAACACATTAATCCTGGGGCTCCTTTACAGCCAAGCACAGAATCCACAGCAGTTACCGAAGACACTTAACAATGGTTCATACCATGACTTTGATTTTAGGGCAATCAAAGCCTTTGCAAAATCTTTCATTGTAGTTTTAACTATCAACAGCATTTTGTTAAATCACTACCTAAAGGCTTCATACCAAAGAATGGGCAGATTTCCCAAACTGCTTGAAAGAGCTAATAATTTTTGCCTCAAACAATCAATCTTTGAGACTTTGGGTTTGATTACCTGCATATAACTACCTAGGGGAACTAAGCTAAGATACAAGACCTTAACTCTTTCATTTAACAGAGGGAGAGCACACTGCCATTGGAGAACAGCCAGAAGGCAGGGTACAAGGCCTCGGTGAACTGGGCTTTGAATTTATAGATCAAGTTGTGCTTCTCCCCTACCGCCATGAAGATGACAAAGCCCCCGTCGCAGTGGAGCAGCACACCAATCCTGGTGGCCTTTGTGTTGGGTAGGCACTTCTCAACATCATCGTGCCAGGACGATATTTTGTTGTTGAGCCACTCGATGCACCAGGAGCTGCCGTTCCTGCCCAGGCGGCTCTCGGGGCCGTGCCGGGCCATGCTGCCGTAGCAGACCCCGATGCCGCAGAAGCTGTTCTGCTGCAGCTCCACCTCCCAGTAGTGGATCCCTCTCTTGAAGCACTGGAACCCCAGCACCTGGCGAAACTCGGTGAAGCGCTGAGGGTGGTCCTTGTGACCCACAGGGGTGTCTGAGACAGATATCCTGGTGTAGTTGTCAGACAGCATCACGTTGTTATGAGCTGTGTTGTAATCCAGGGTGATTTTAGCACCATCTGCAATGACACGAATCGTGTGAAGGTACCGAAGAGCAAAGCACTTTTATTTATTTATTTATCCAGTCCCACCCAAGCACTTGTTCCCACGCACATTTATCTCCTAGCTCTGCTCTCCTCCTCAGTGCTACCCTAATGCCATCATTCTGGAGGAAACCAAAGCCATTACTTAGAAAACTTCATTT